AACCAGGATTAAACCAGGTCTAAACCAGGACTGAACCAGGACTAAACCAGACCTGAACCAGGATTAAACCAGGTCTAAACCAGGACTAAACCAGGACTGAACCAGGACTGAACCAGAACTGAACCAGGATTAAACCAGGTCTAAACCAGGACTGAACCAGGACTAAACCAGGATTAAACCAAGTCTAAACCAGGACTGAACCAGGACTAAACCAGAACTGAACCAGGATTAAACCAGGTCTAAACCAGGACTAAACCAGAACTGAACCAGGATTAAACCAGGTCTAAACCGAGGACTGAACCGAGGACTAAACTAGGACTAAACCAGAGCTGAACCAGGACTGAACCAGGTCAGAGCGGAGTTCTACGCCGGTCCTTTCGCCCGCGGTCACCCGACGGTCTACATGGGCGCTTCTCCGGCGTTTTACCGCAGCTGATTGATGTTGATATCGCGGTGATTTTAGCTAATTTGTATGAAGAAAAACTAAAAACCCACCACTTCAATCCAGGTTAAAAAAGCTTTGTGACGTGCGTTACTCACATTTGTACAGAGTAAAATATTATTATTTTTTTCCCTGTAATGCTGTAACATTACTGCGTTACAGCAAAAAGCAAAACATTACAGTAATTCATTACTTTTATAACATGTTACTCCCGACACAATAATCCAAAAAATAACAAAACATCATATCGAGGCACTTTGATATCGTTACATCCCTCGTTATACAGCATGTTGCAAATTCATAAAAGTTAATTCCCAGTGAAAACATATGCATGAGGTCCTCTTATTTACTCTTGGCAATATAACGATACAGCAGCCCATGATATCGATACTGTATCATCACATTAAACGATACGATATACTGATATTTCAGTATTTTTGCGCACTCCTACTGAAGAGGTTTTAGAGTCATCCATGAATCCGTGTATCAGTCGTTCATTTGTTTTTCATTATTTGTCTCCAAAACCAAAATTAAAAAACGGATAATGACCGTTTCCCATTTCTGTGACTTAAACTGTGATGCGCCACATAGGGACTGAACCAGGACTGAACCAGGTCCGAGACCAGACAGGAACCAGACTGGGACTGAGACCAGGACTGAGGCCGGGACCAGACCAGGACCAGACCGTGATTGCGACCGGGACTGAGACCGGAACCAGACCAGAACTGAAAATGGTTTAGTCCTGTTTTAGTCCTGGTTCAGTTCATATGCAGCACAATAGTTGCAGTTTAAGTCACGGAAATAAAATGCTTGCAACACAATAATCTGAAAAATAACAAAACATCGTATCGAGGCACTTTGATATTGTTACATCCCTCGTTATACAGCTTAGCGCTTGTTGCAAATTCATAAAAGTTAATTCCCAGTGAAAATATATGCATGAGGTCCTCTTATTTAACAAAATATTCAAATGCAGAGGCACCGTGTTTGCGCTATAGAGTTAAGTACACTGAACTGAATTAACAAAAGAGGAAGTGAAGAGCTCTCAGCGGTAACCAGGCGGCCATTTTACCTCCAAACTCACGTCCTGCGAGAGTCCTCCACCAAAACACGTCCAACACAACTAATCAAAGCTATTACACAACGCGGCGTACGAAATGTCTTCTCCAATTTAACGCGGATACTTGTGATGCTACGAGTGTCCGTTCCTTGTAATTGAATGGTTGGCGTCGCCGTTACACAAGCTCTTCTGGAAATTATTAGCGATTCCGGGCGTCTTTTTGAGAGCCGCATTACAATTACAGAAATCGAAGCAATTTTCAGCCGGAAAAATGGTCTCGTATGAATCAATTTGTGATAAAAAACTTTGCAGGACCAGCTTCATTTGGTTCGATTATTTTTCTATCAGCGTTAACGGGACTTTTGATGGAGCGAAATCGAGGAAATTTTCGAGTTTTGTGGGAAGGTTTGGGGTAATTGGAGAAGTTGGTTGGATTCGAGGGACATTACGTGAAATAAGACGGCAATTTGAGATAATCGTTATAGTTTAATAAAGTTAAATTAAAAGTAAAACGAGGCAGGAGACTCGAAAGTGCAAAGAACAGTACAATTCTGAATATTGGCCTTGAGTTGTGTAATTCTGAGTTATAGTTAAAGTCACAATATGTAACTTTTTTTTTTTTTTTTGCCAAAATTAGATGAAAATAAATGCTTTTAATTAGTTCTAGTTCAGTTCTGGTTCAGTCCTAGTTTAGTCTTGGTTTAGTTCTGGTTCAGTCTTGCTTTAATTTTGGTTTAGTCCTGGTTCAGTCTTGGTTCAGTCCTTGTTCAGTCCTGGTTTAGTCCTGGTTTAGTCCTTGTTTAGTCCAGGCTGAATCCTGGTTCAGTCATAGTTCAGTTCGGGTTCAGTTCTGGTTTAGTCCTTGTTCAGTCCTGGTTCGGTCCTGGTTTAGTTCTGGCTCAGGTCTGGTTTAGTTCTGGTTCAGTTCTGGTTCAGTGTTGGATCAGTCATGGTTCAGTCCTTGTTCAGTCTTGGTTTAGTCCTGGTTCATCCTGGTTCAGTCCTGGTTTAATCCTGGTTCCGCCATGGTTTAGTCCTGGTTTAGTCCTGGTTCAGTCTTGGTTCAGTCCTGGTTCAGTCCTGGTTTATTCCTGGTTCAGCCCTGGTTCAGCCCTGGTTCAGTCCTTGTTCAGTCCTGGTTTAGTCCTTGTTCAGTCCTGTTAGTCCTGGTTTAGTCCTGGTTTAGTCCTGGTTTAGTCCTGTTTAGTCCTGGTTCATTCTGATGCTGCAGTTCAGAATAAAAGACAAATGTTTGAACAAGAAGAGAGGAAGCCATTTTGAGAACAATGACCGATGTTACCGCGGCAACAAGTCTTATTATTACTATTATTATTATGAATGCTCATTTTTGGGATAACGGGTCAGACGGGTTTTAAATCAGATGGTAAAACTGGGACGTATTGTTGAAGTTATTGTAATTACGTAACATTAATTTCCTGCTTTTGAACTTGAAATGAAAACTCTCTCCTCCTGAAACATGTTCTTTTGTTCACTGGTTTAGTTCGTCCTGGTTTAGTCCTGGTTTAGACCTGGTTTTAATCTGGGTTAGGATTTGTTTAGTCCTAATTTAGTCCTGGTTCAATTCTGGTTTAATCCTGATTCAGTCATAGGTCAGTTCTGGTTCTGATTCAATTTTAGGTCAGTCTTCGTTCGGTCTTGGTTTAGTCCTGGTTCAGCCCTGGTTCAGTCCTGATTCAGTCCTGGTTCAGTCTTGGTTTAGTTCTGGATTAGTCCTGGTTCAATCCTTGTTCAGTTCTGGTTTAGTCCTAGTTTAGTCCTAGTTCAGTCCTGGTTTAGCCCTGGTTTAGTCCTGATTCAGTCCTGGTTTAGTCTTGGTTTAGTCCTGGTTTCGTCCTGGTTCTGTCCTAGTTCAGTCCTGATTTAGTCCTTATTTAGTCCTGGTTCAGTCCCGGTTTATTCCTGATTTAGTCCTGATTCAGTTCGCATTCAGTCCTGATTCAGTCCTGGTTCAGTCCTGGTTTAGTCCTGGTTTAGTCCTGGTTCAGACCTGGTGGTTCAGTCCTGGTTTAGTCCTTTTTCAGCCCTGGTTTAGTCCTGAATTATTCCTGGTTCAGTCCTGGTTTAGTCTTAACATAATCAGATGTTAAAACCTGAGCAGCAGTAATATTATATTCATTGTTTATTGGAGTAAAAATGAAAATACTCTCTATGTCTTACTTTCATGATTTTATGGAGGAGTGACAGTCAAACAAACACTACTGGTACTATGTATGACCAGTTACTGCCACCTGCTGGTTACTGATAGAAAAAATAGATGTGCAGTTAAATGTAAGTGTTTAAATGAGGTTAAAACAATATCTGCTGTTACAGTCCAAGAGTCACGAGCTGTTTTCAGATTTGTGCAATCTGAAAACCACCAATGGGTAGTTTGGTTTTATTGGTTCTAGACTGTGATAATAATCGTAGATGAGGGGCAAGGTCCAGATTTCCATATTGTTTATTGTATTTTGTATTGTGTATTGTATTTTACCATGAAATATTCAGAAGGTAAAGTTGAAAATTTTAAATTTCTATTACTGACTAGACCCACGAATTCACTATTACAACAGAAATCTGCATTTTAATAAAATTCAACTCACCTGTTACCAGAGGAGGGACCAAGACATTGTTTTGCGAGTCTCAAGTGAGTCTCGAGTCTTTGACCTCAAGTCTGAGTCAAGTCCCAAGTCAAATACAGGCAAGTCCAAGTCGAGTCTCGAGTCACTGGCCCATAAGTCCAAGTCAAGTCCAGGTCGTCTGCTTTGAGCTTCAAGTCATTTCAAGTCTTTAAACCAAAGTACCAAATATAGATTGGATTTTTGCAATTTATATGAAGTTTAAACTAAATTGTACTTAAAAGTCATGGTATATTTATATATAAGTGTTGTAGAAAATGCAAATTTTTCCTTTTTAAATGTCTTGACAAGATCTTAGTGTGAATCATTATGGTCGGAATAGAATTAATTAAGATTTAAAAGTGCTAATTATCAGTTATTTTGTCATGAAGGATCATGTTCTGTGTAGTTCCCTCTGTTTTACTGTATTGTACTGTATATTACTGTAGTACTTTTGAGGATACCGCATCACAGTACTTCAGTTTCATCCAAAGTAACAAAGAGAAGTGGGAGGGACATGTTCCAGTTTGTTCCTTTAAAATTAATCACCACATTTATCAACTGTAAAGAGAAAAGTATTTTCTAAAAACATATATTTTTTTTAGCAGAAGCATCAAGTTTTCTCAAGTTGAAGGGCTCAAGTCCGAGTCAAGTCCCAAGTCACTGACCTTCAAGTCTAAGTTGAGTCCCAAGTCTTAATCCATTTTATCAAGTCAAGTCTCAAGTCCTAAAAATAGTGACTCAAGTCTGACTCGAGTCAAGTCACTCTGCCTGTTGCCCATTTATATTAATTAATACTAATTACTGGCCTAGTACAGCATGTTGTGACGTCATCTGAAAACCAGCAGTTAATTCTACCTCCACGTTCCTCTCGAGTTCTCACCTGCGGCGTGTGCCCGAGCAGAGCCCACAGAGAGTCCGCAGACAGGGCCTTGTTTCGGCTGAACTCGATGCTTTGAGTCTGGGTCCGGTCCAGAGCGATGAAGGGACAGTCCTGGAAGTCGCCCCTCAGCTCCTCTCCGCTCTGCAGCTTCAGCAGGTCCCAGGTCCCCACACGAGACAGAACCGAGCGCACGGAGCCCAGCTGGGAGTAAGACAGGTGACCTAGACGAGAGAGGAACGACATTATGAGATCAGACTTTAAAGACGCACTATTTTATGTGACCCAGTAATCAACACAGATGGGTGCAGTTATAATGTAGATGTATACAGTAAGTTCTTGGGTCTAGTCAGTAAGAGCTTGTAAATAATGTGTGAATTTGGATATTTCATGGCAAACTACAACATAATTAATAGAGGGTATGATGTAAAAAAAACACCACAAAATTACATAGTGCACCTTTAAGTCTTAATTCTAGCTATTGCATCTAATTTAAAATGTTGTTTACTTATTTTATTTTATTTATCTCCATCGTACCAGAGATCCATGATGGCGTGAGAGCGTCTGAAATCCAGCCCACGTATCCCTCTCTGAAGGAGCAGAGGAAGTCCTGGACCCGGGTCTGGACCAGGATCTCGGTCTGGTTCTGCAGAGTCTGGTCCAGGTCCAGGTCTGAGGACAGGAAGAGGACACGAGGGAAAAACAGACGATCACGGACAGAGACGCCGCTGCGCCTCAGGTGAGCGACGAGGGACTGAGTCTTCTTCTGCGGGGACACAAGAGGACATGAGCGTGAGATTTAAGGCGCATTGTGTAAGAGTTTTGATTGGAGGTCCATCACCTGTTTGTTTCTATGGATACGTCCTCGCTCTGCCTGAAATGTTCCACAGTGTGACATTAAACAGCTCTACTTTACATTTATGCAATTACAGGTGGTTTTATAGCTCAAAAATACCTAAAAAAAACAGACATTCTGACTGTGAGCGGGGTCGCCTCTCCACAGATCTGATCTGTAACTTGGTCTGGTTTGGTCTCTATGAAAATAGAAATGTTTAATGCCATACTGTGAAACATTCCAGACCAAGCAATAAAATCTCCATGGAGACAACCAGAAAAGTTACACAATGTACTAAAAAAAAAACAAAAAAAACCCCCACAGAAACTACTACTACTACAACTACTACTACCACTCCTACTATAACTACTACTACAACAACTACTACTACCACTACTCCTACTACTCCTACTACTCCTACTACTACTACTACTACTACAACTACTACTACTACTACTACTACTACTACCTACTCCTACTACTCCTACTACTCCTACTACTACCTACTACTACTACTACTACAACAACTACTACTACTACTACTCTACTACTCCTACTACTACTACTATAACCACTACTACTATAACTACTAATACAAATACTAATCAATAATCCAAAATACAGGGAAAAAATCTATTTTTTTTGGGATTGCACTATTCTGAAATCTTATTGGTCACAGATTTGGAGTCATATAAATCATGTTTTTGGGTCTAAACTGATGTTTACTTTTGAGTGTTTATACTTGGGAGATGTTAATGTCCAGAATTGGAGAAATGATGATACAAAGTTATTGGCAACCCTGTTTGTAGCAAGCAAAAAAAAAAAAAAAACATGACAAGAAAACAGCAAAGGGTGGATCCTCCATCAATAGAGGAGTAGAGAGAAAGAGTCTATGAAATCTACGTGATGGAAAAGAAAAGCTGCGTTTCACCCTTCGGACCCAAAGAGACTCTTTTTACGAAATGGACCGAGTATGTGAAACTTATTAGATTGGACTTTTTCTGAAAACTAATAAACACATCTCGATCGATATTTCAATGAACGACTGTAACAGCACTCTTTGTATTATTGAAAAATGTAAAAAATTAAAAATTACAAAATACAGGGAATAATACAATTTACACATAAGGAAGGCATTTTAAACCTTCATTTAACAGAATCAAGGTGTTCAGCAGATTTCTGAAGGATTATTTAAAAAAAAAGATTTATTTTTGTAATAATTTGGGACAATATTACCCTCTCATTTTTAATTTTAGAAAGTAGAAATGTAGCTTTTCAAAAAGTGAGATAAAAAAGTATTAATTCAATGCCTGAGCTTTTTAAAACTGCTTTATTTGACTCGTGTTTGGTTTTTGGTTTTATCATCAGGTCAAATCTATAAGAGAGAAAAGTCAGTGTGTCCCGTATGGAGACAGCTGTGTTTATGCACCTGCTCCTCCCCCAGGAACATTTAAAGAACATCAGACTTTCAAATTAAGAGCCCCGTTTAACACAATCACACTCTTTCAAATTAAGAGCCCCACTTTAGCTTTAGGAAATGGGATTAAATTTACATAAAAATGACAGAAATTACACAGTTCAGTTTAGTCCTGGTTTAGTCCTGGTTCGGTTCTGGTTAAGTCCTGGTTTAGCCCTGCTTTAGTCCTGCTTCAGTCCTAAATTAGTCCTAGTCCAGTCCTGGTTCAGTCTCGCTTTAGACCTGCTTTAGTCCTGGTTTGGTCCTACTTTAGTTCTGATTCAGTCCTGCTTTAGTCCTAAATTAGTCCTGGTTCAGTCCTGCTTTCAGTCCTAGTCCTTCAGTCCTTTAGTCCTGAATTAGCTTTAGTCCTTTAGTCCTGCTTTAGTCCTGGTTCAGTCCCAGTTCAGTCCTGGTTTAGTCCTGATTTAGTTTAGTCCTTAGCTTTACCTGCTTTAGTCCTGCTTTAGTCCTAGTTGCTTTAGTCCTGGTTTAGTCCTAGTCCTTTAGTCCTAGTTTTCAGTCCTGGTTTAGTCCTTTAGTCCTGGTTTGTTTAGTCCTGTTTAGTCCTTTAGTCCTTTAGTTTTCCTTTGTCCTTTAGTCCTGGTTTAGTCCTGCTTTAGTCCTGTTTAGTCCTGTTTATTTAGCTTTAGTCCTGGTTTAGTCCTGCTTTAGTCCTGGTTTGGTCCTGGTTAGTCTCTGTATTCACCTTTATGGCTCTGACTGGATCTTCCGTCTGTTCGATTCTCGTGTTGGTGAAGTTCGTTTCTTCTTCTCTGACTTGAATTTGCCATTTTGAGTTTTGCACCGAGACTTTTCCGCTCCACGTTTTCACATCGATGCAGAAGATCCCATGACCTAAAAGAGAGTAAACCGAAAATAATAATAATCTGAAATGTTAAAAGTGCAGCGTGTAATTTTTCTGATGTAGGGTCTGCTGCCTGCTCGTCTCCTTGGATGTTCCACAGTGTTGCATTAAACATTTATCCAGCATTTATTTAATAACAGGTGTTTACATGTCTGTCTCCATGGAGATAAATAAGTTTAATGTCGCACTGTGGAACATTCCAGGCAAAGCAATAACATCAGGTGGCGGGTCCTACACCAGTAAAGTTATGCAATGTGCCTTTAATCTTATTCAAACTAATTTTAGAAGTATTTTAATATAAAAACCTGTACATATAATCACTTCAATGGACTAAAAAAAACATACATATTACAATTATTGCTCCAGAGACTTGAAATTGTGAGATAAATAAATTAATTAATTCCATCCAAACAAAGGAAAAATTTACACACAAGGAATTTCTGACAGTTTAAACTAATTTTTGAAAATAATGGGACTCGGTGATCTGGCCAAAAAATAAAATGTTGATTAGTTGGAACAAACTGGCCGATTATTTTATTTTATTTTTTTTACATTTATACATAATCTTATCCACACACATTTTTTTTCTTTTTTTTTAATACATATTTTTATATTCGATGATGAAAAACACAAAATAATTTGATAAAGTGCCCATCCCTAAATAACTTTACAAATAAATGTAAATGTAAAATGTAAATCAATGTTAATTTGACTATGTCTGGTCCTTGTTTTCAACAGTTATGGAATTAGATTTAGATGAACTTTATTGATCCACAGGAGAAATAATATTCACATAGTAGATCACACATCAAGATATATTATAATAAATATAAAATAAATATAAATATAAAAAATAGTAATAAAAACTTCTAAATAAGTAGCAATAAAAAAAATAGGAAGAGGCTGGTGTCAAATAAGTCCTAATTATATAAATGTAAATTATAAAAAATAAGCATATAATAATAAATAATAAATATATACATGTAAATATCAATAAATAATAAATATATACATGTAAATTAACTCTGCTTATGTCGTATGTTAAAGATCTGATTCAGTCTGGGAACTGAACCTGGGACATTCTTGCTTTAAGTCGACCACAGAATTAACCACTGAACCACTATGTTTTATTTGCTGTTTACTCGTGTTTTGTAAGTTTATTATTGCACATTTCAACTACTGTATAGTATAAAAACCTGTAAATAAAATTAGTTCAAACAACTGAAAAAAAAAATAATTGTGAAAAATAATGGGACTCGACGATCTGGTCAAAAAATAAAATCTTGATTATCTGGAAAAAACTGGACGATTAATTGCTGTTTACTCTTGTTTTGTAAGTTTATTATTGTACATTTGAACAACTGTGTCTCTGTACTTTCCTTTGTTGGCTGTTTCTAAACACAAACCAGACCAGCTGACTCTGCTGTGTGAATAGTTCTTCAGGTCGTGCATATTTTCCTGTGCGAGTCCTTTGAAGTTCAGAGTGTTTTGTGGTGTTTATGTGGGGGCTGGAGTTAAACAGGTTTAGAGGCACAGAGTTTGAGCAGCTGTCTGGAGCGGCTGCTGTCACCGACTCATCAGTGACACTCTGGTATTCTCCTCTGTTGCTGCTTTTGTCCTTGTAAACTTTCTACTTTAAAAGGTGCACTTGGCGAGGGTTAATGCTTTGGTTTAAATTGTCCACTGTATGGCGCTGTATAGATGATCTGTGTTGCATTTACTCAATTACAAGGCGGCAAAGGAGAAATTCAGTTTGTCAACTGGACAAAGTTAGTTTGGTTGAAGACGTTTCGTGACTCATCCAAGTTGCTTCTTCAGTTCTGGTCAGACTGTGGTGGACACTTAAAACGCAATCGGGCGATGGCTGTGTTTACCTCCGTGAGGTGCGGAGCTGAGCCGGTCCTTTCTTCTGCGGTCACCTTCGAGCCCGTCCCGACAGTGAGTCCTGTTTCAGTCCTGGTTTAGTCCTGGTTTACTGCTGTTTAATCCCGTTTTAGTCCTAGTTCAGTCCTGGTTTAGTCTTCTTGTTCAGTCCTGGAATCAGTCCTAAGTTAGTCCTGGTTCAGTCCTGGTTTAGTACTGGTTTAATCCTAGTTCAGTCCTGTTTTAGTCCTGTTATAGTCCTAGTTCAAAAGTTTGATATAATCTCAGGTTAACGGGCGAGTGCGGTGCTGTACTGCGCTGCTGCGAGTCTCCAAAGATGGACCCGTGCAGGACTCTGCGCTGTTGGGCTCCATTACGGAATTAATGAATCTTCAGTTTACGAGGACAAAAATAACACATAAGGACGACAGCAGCAATAAGTTTTAAGAAGGATGCAAAAAGGGTTGTAACTGTCCTGTGTGAGAAAAGTGTATAAAGTGTGTGGTGACGGGTTTTACAGAGATAAACCTGCGATAAACGAGGGACCACTGTACTTTCTTTACGTTACCATGAGTTCTTAGACTTGTTAAGCTAAAGCTCAAATGGTAGAATAAGTTTCGTGCCTCATCCAAGCTGCTTCTTCAGTTCTGGTCAGACTCTGGTGGACACATCCATATATCTGTCTGCCGGGAGGAGCTAAGTACACTGAAACTACTCTGAAACTAACACATCTACTTGTTTACAGTTTTTGTTTGCTATTGGGACTACTGAACTTTCACTGTGGGGTCATATTAGCAGAATCATTCAGGGCCATAATGGAGCTTTCACACCTCTGGCCTTGATCTGGCTACAGCTATTGTTCTCTTGTTTGTTTTGCTTTGGGTTTGAGGATAGAGTTGTAACTAGGAGACAGGCGGTTTTCTGTTTAGAGAAGGATTATTTTTCTTAACACAAATATATTTTCTTTAACTCCCCTCTCAAACCAGTTCTCAGTTTCTCTGGCTCAGATCTGTACCTCACTGTCCTCAAAGGAGTGGCCCGTGGCTTTTAGGTGGAGATGTACAGCAGACTGAGGTCCTGTGTTGCTCTCTCGTCTCTTTCTGAAAAACTACAGAGGATTTTCAGACAACATGAAATCTCAGTCTATTTCAAACCTACAAACACTTTACGACAGAAACTGGTCCACCCAAAGGGCAAAACACCGAGCCACGGGCCAGTCCTTTGAGGATAGTGAGGTACAGGACAGGACTAAAACAAGACTGGACCAGGAACTAAACCAGGACTAAACCATGACTTGATGAGGCCCAAAACAGTTCTGTATCAGGACTAAACGAAGACCACACCAAGATGAGTGTGAACACAACTGTTTTCCGTCTTTTAATCGTGTTCTGTTTTTGGTTCCTGTACTCCACTCTGTAATAGTTTGTGGTACCGACCTGTGAGTAGAACTACACCGATGTCGTCTTTGGAGAACTGATCCTTCTCTGGGACTCGTAAATTACAGAACACATCCTCTTTCTTCAGACCGGTCACTCTCCTGCAGAAAAACAAAACAAGAGAAGAATCAGGTTAAGAAATGAAATGTAATGCTACCAGTGTTAATAACCGTCTCAGGTCCAATCCAGAAAACAATAATGATATAATATTGGTTCAGAATATCTAGTCAGGTCAGGGGTCTACAATTAAATTCCCTTGAGGGCCAGAACTATCATTTTTATAGCATTTTAAAACTATTTATCTTGTAAAAAAGTACAATCACGTATACTACTTTCCTCGTTTCTTTTCATTAGTTTGCCTTTTTTTTTTATATACAAAGGTGCGAACAATCATTTTGATACTTTTCGGACTATAAGTCACACTTTTTTTCATGGTTTGGGTGTTTCCTGCGACTTATACTCCGGTGAGACTTATATATTAAAATTTTGAAAAAAAAAAAAAAAAAATTTTGAGACTGACAGCCGCGAGAGGCTCTAGTCTTCTGTGTCAGTATCTTGCACTCCTGTAAGAAAAAGCCGCTGTCCCGCTGCAAATAGTGTAATATTCCACCGAAAATTGTAATCGAGCAGCAGAAAGAAAATTTGGAGTGAGCGAGAAACTTGTGAGGGACTGGCGTAAAGCGAGGATAGAAAACACAGCTTCACGGCAACTGGGAGGATGCACCATGAAACTTTCCTGAAGTCACTGGATGGATGGACAAAGCCTGGACTTCAATGACACCGAAACCATCCTGTCAGGATTCAGAAAGACCCGAATAATTCTAACTGGAACTGATGCTGAGTCTGACGACAGCGACACAGAAGAGGAAGCAGCGCTCTGTTTACCTCATGGATCTACGGTTTATCTCCGGAGGTTGTGCACCGAGGACGAAGAATTCAGTGGATTTAGTGATTTGGAGTGAGAATGTGAGATTGGTAAACTTATGTTATGTTGTTTATGCTATAGTTATCTGAATAACTGTTAATACGTGATGTTAATTTATTAACACCTATTCAGTCTGTTGTTCTCTGTTCTATTGTTATTGCTAGAACTTGCCTTTCAACATGAATTGTCGGTTCCCGGTCTCTGATTTTATAAAATATGTTTCCCCAAAAAGTGTGACTTATATGTTTTTTTTCTTCTTCATTACGCATTTTTTGGCTGCTGCGACTTATAGTCCGGAAAATACAGTATTTGAATACCGTTTATGATACCACAATGATAAAAAAATCCTTCTTTTTAATTAACAGAATGTAAATTTCAACCCAAAATAATACTTTCTTTATGTTACCATGAGTTCTTATACTTGTTCTGATAAAGCTCAAATGCATACTACAACTTTTTTTTGCAGTATTGATACCTCAATCAATGCTCAAATGATGAATCTAGTTTCGATATTAGTTTTAGTATCGATATGTATCTCATTTCCGATACTTTTGACAACCCTACTCACATCGTATGGAACTGCTGACATGACATTTCAATAATCTGAGAACTCCAGAAATCAGATAACAATCAGATTTTGCTGTACATGTAAATATAAACATTGAGAGAAGCTGTCAGAGCAGATCCAAAATGTCCGCCGGCGTACAGTGCATACCTCAGTCTCTGTACGAACTCCGCTGGTGTCTCTGTTTGTTGTTGGTTTAAATCTTTGGGGGAGGAACTTTCTGAAGCCTTGAAGCCGAGAGGAAACTGGGTGAACAGGCTCCCGAACTGCAGCACTGAAGTCATGGTCTGAAACACATTTAAGAAAGAGATAAGATTTGTTTCAAAGCAGCACTATGCAACTTCACTGGTAGGAGGGGTCCGCCAATTGCTTATTTTCATGGAGATATTACTGAGTTGCCTGGAATGTTGCAAAGTATGGCATTATAAACATATCCATCTTGCATTCTATTGTTTAAAAATACCTTGAAAACATCGATTCTTACTTTGAGCGGGGTTGACTAGTCTCCACAGATCTGACCTGTAACTTGGCCTGGTGTTTGTCTCCATGTATATTGAGAATTTTAATGTGAGACTATGGAAAATCTTAGGCCTAGCAATATGTCTGGCTGCTCAATTATGGAACAAAATCAAATCAGGCTTATTTATGTCAAATTGAAATCATGTTATCTGTAGCAGTTGATACTTTGCAGCTGATGTCATTTACTTAGGCTACGTTTACACTGACGTACGTATCACCGCATCAGAAATGATTTGCCTACAGACACGTCATTTCTGTGTCCACAATCAAAGCTTTCCCTATCCACATAGTAACACAAAACTGCCTGAAACGCTCGTCATATGACTAGGCTGGCGTCACATTCGTCATGATGTCAATTGGGCGGTAAAAACAAGGAAGTGGAGCACCGTGGCTGAAGCTGCAGCAGCCGATTTCGGGCCGAGGAAGATGACAAGTGTGAAAACTTTCATGGACTGAAGACGAGGTTCAGTTGTTACTGAACGTAACACTGGATTTTAAGACGAGCGTGGAGGCTCAGAGTGTGGATGACCGATGACACGAACCCAATGTATCAGGAAGGCGCAAGTCACAGTGATGTGGTCCAATAAGGAGGCAACTAGAGCTCCTACGTCAGTGTATCAGCGTTTTCAGGCGTCCACACAGTGCCGGATCAGATCAGTACTCGGATGAATTCGTGGAAGCTGGCGGCACCGGATCATTCCGTCTCTGGACCCATTTTCCATCAGATTAGTGTGGACGAACACTGCATCCACAACAAAAACGACTCAAATACGTACTAGTGTGGACAGGGCCTTTGGGTGACCAGATTTTCAAAATAAAAAACTGGGACACCTCCGATTTGTGGTGGTTGGTAATAATAAAACTGTCAATCGAGTGCATAGTAGGCTCTATTCACGCTTCACAAACCAGGAAGACATTTGGAAACATCCAATAACAGCATCCGGTGTAGTCCTAACACTGGACTCGTGATCAAAGCCACTGAAGTAAATGTCATGAGCGGTAAAATGAAGACTGCAGACGTATGTGCTGTTTGGAATCATCTTGAATTTGGCGCCTCGTCTATTCTAATCGCATGTTCACAGTGCGCTCGGAGTTGTGCGTCAGTGGGGAAATTATGAAAACTGAGGGATGGTTGGAATTGTTGATTAGCCGAACATAACGGAACACTACAACGACATGGAGATGAAGAAAACTGGGACATTTTCTAATTTTTCTACATTTTTTCAGACTTACTACTGCGAACAGAAACCCGCTGCAAGTTGTTATTGCATGTTTTCAAACGTCTTCCTGGTCTGTGATGTAAACCTGAATAGAGCCTATTAAGGAGAATTCTGCACTCGGCCCATTCGTGCCTAACGTAAATCAGTATAGTCACATTTTCTTCTTCTGTTTTGGTCATTTTTAAGCAGCTTTTCAGTATTTTACCTAAACAAATGACAATTTATGCTTTTCTTTACTGGACACCTGGGGCATTTCTTGTATAAAACTGTTTTTGGATAAATCTGCTGGGACAGGGGACACAGGGCTCAAAACTGGGACTGTCCTGGGTAAACAGGGACGTCTGGTCTGGTCACCCCACATTGACATTCCCTGGGAGTCTGATGCTAACTGTAGGTTCTGCTCTGTCTGAGGCTTTGTTAGACATTAATCTGATCTTTGTTTTAAAACAACCTGACCTCAAAGAACTGACTTAGCTGGAACTACAAGAGTTGAGCTGATCTGTGCTGTTAAACAAGTCCCTCTCGAATAACATTACAGTCACGAGCTATCTAGCATTAGCATTAGCATTAGCCAACAGTTTTTCAGTTTGTCACTCTCACATTTTAGTTAAAAATCAAACTCCAAAACAGAACCATGAATGCTTAGACTGATCACAGGCCCCTGAAAATATACTTTTTAAATCCATTTTGTATATTTTATTGATTTTTTCAGACAATTTTAAATCGTTTTTGTCAGTGTTTGCTAATGTGAGCGTTGTGTCACCATGGTAACTGCTATAACATTCTGCTATACACATACATAAACATTTGATTAGCTGCAGTTCTAACTATTATTGTAAATTCCTCTGTACTTTCGCAGGAGTGATAAAAATAAGTGTACAGACATAAAGTTTCTTGTCACTTCAAAATCTGTTCACAGAAAAAAAACAACAAAAAAAAACTTTACAAACCGACAACTGGAACTACAAGAAAAAAATTATGCCAAACGTGTCTTGATTTGTTTTGGCTTTCACTGCGTTTACAGCTGTTATCTCGTGTCTGAGCAGTGATTGGGATTTTGGGCTTGGTAGACTTTTTGAACCAGATGCCCTCCCTGATAAAACTTGAAACAAACACAAATACATTGATTTAGCGTTACAAAAGCACACTTTCAGTAGATTTTCTTCTCTTTAAGTTGGATCAGAGTCAGTATTTTGTCATTTTGTTGTATTATTTATAAGAAATTACCAGGAATTTCATAAATATTTTCCCTGCCTGAATTGGTACTACTACTACTACTACTATTACTAGTACTACTACTACTACTACACCTACAACTACACTTTTAGTAGTTTTTCCTTTCTTTAAGTTGGATCAGAATCAGTATTTTTGTCTCATTGAATAAATAAAATATCAGACAAAGTCTCAAAAAATTCCATAAATGTTTTCCCTGAACTGGTGGTACTAGTACTACTACTACTACTACTACTACTACTACACTTTTAGTAGTTTTTCATCTCTGTCAGATGAAACAGGAGTCAGTATTTTTTCTCATTGTCTGGTATTAATTATACGAAATCTCCAGAAATTCCATAAATATTTTCCCTGCCTGAATTGGTACTACTGCTACTGCTAATACTACTACTACTACTACTATTTTGGTTGCTTTTTCTCTTTCAGTTGGAGCAGGAGTCAGTATTTTATCTCATTTTCTGGCATATTTTATAAGAAATTTCCAGGAATTCCATAAACGTTTTCCATAAATTGGCATTGCTAATACTACTACTACTACTACTACTACTACTACTACACTTGGTAGTAGTAGTTTTTCCTTTCTCAGTTGGATCAATCAGATCTTCAGATATTCCATAAATGTTTCCCCTGAATTGGCACTACTACTACTACTACTACTACTACTACACTTTTGGTAGTTTTGTTCTCTTTCAGACGCATCAGAGTCAGTATTTTGTCTCATTGTCTGTTATTTTATTTATTCAAAACCTCAAAAAATTCCATAAACCTTTTCCCTGAATTAGTGATACTAGTACTACTAGTACTACTAGTACTACTACTACTACCACCACTAATACCACTACTACTTCTACTACACGTCTGGTAGTTTTTCCTCTTTCAGCTGGATCAGAGTCAGTATTTTGTCTAATTTTCCAGTATTATTTATAAGAAATCTTCAGAAATTTTACCTAAATTGGTACTGCTACTACTGCAACAACTATAACTACTACCACTACTACTACTGCACTTTTGGTAGTTTTTCCTCTCTCAGTTAGAGCAGGAGTCCGTATTTTGTCTCATTTTCTGGTATTATTTAGAAGAAATCTCCAGAAATCCCATAAATATTTTCCCTGAAACTGGTACTGGTACTGGTACTACTACTACTACTACACTTTTGTAGTTTTCTTCTCTTTCAGTTGGATCGGAGTCAATATTTTGTCTCATTTTCTAGTATTATGTATAAGAAATCTCCAGAAAGTCCATAAATATGTTCCCTGAATTGGTGGTACTGCTATTAGTACTACTACTATTACTTCAAAATAGTACCTTGTCCCTTTAAGAGCCCCTGATTGCATCTTTATAAATCAAATACCGGATTATATTTGTTGGTTTACGCGGTCAGATCGTTCCTAAAATGCGATAATAACGCGCAAAAACAGGACATTGGCGGAGTTTTTACGCTTGTTTGCGACAGATTAGCGGCATAATTTGCAGCGTGAGAGGACAAAGAAAGGACAAAACACAACAAGCTTTTACAGGGACAGACTGTACCTACTTCGCTTCGCTTTGGCGCAAAAAACAGCTCCGACTGCTCCGGTTTGCGCTTTATTTCGGCATCTGCGGCGTGTTTTTGGTCTGATTTGCGTTATTCCTCGTGCGCGGACGTAACTCTACCCCGAAAAGCGCTTTCTCAACACCGCGGAGCCTCTCTCCTCCTCCTCTCTCCCCTCTTCTCTCCTCTTCTCTTTTCCTGCGGATCGTTCCTGGAAGAAGTAAACAACAGACCACGTGCGCGCAGCTGCAGCGTCAGATTACGCGCACACAGACGCACTCTACGTCACCGTGCGTAAAAATATTGGGCATGTGAGGGTCGGGATGACATCTGAGACTGGAAAATAGTGGTTTTATATTTAGGCAGATGTTAATCACTCTGCGATCTTTCCATGTTGTTCTGTTTACTGTTCTGTTTGATCACAGGCTTAGGCTACGCTCCTGGATTTTTATTTTTAATTTTTTCTTACTGGCTGAAAAAAATGTGCGTCCACACACGTGTCGGATCAATAAATATTCACGACAACAGAGCACTGAGTGAAAACGATGTAATACATATGCCACACCTGTATGTGGCGCTGTAAACAATGATAATAATTTTTAAACGTTAACGTAATTTAGCCGGTTTTAGATGTATCCCAGAAATATCACCGTTTTGTTTTAGCAGAAGTTTAACATAAGTTTTCGTTTTTAGCCATAAGATTTGGATGAAAATTATTAGAATAACTTGGTACCAAAATCGTAATCTTTGTCACTGATCCGTGTGTGTTGTTAGCATTAGCGTTAGCAGCGTGTCTCGGTTGCTGGGCGACACGAGCGGCTCTGTGGGCTACACCTGTCACTTTTCGGCAACACTCTTGCGGTCTATGGAGGCTAGTTCGCGGGCTGTGACGGGGTCGCGACAACATCATTTTCCAAATTGTGCGGTTTGCTCGTCCACATGACAACGCAACGCTGGTGTTCTCAGATTTCTCCACTCTGGAACCCGTTCTCAAAAAACACAGTTTTTGCCACCACCTGAAACGCCGGCTCCGTGTGGACGAAAGACCAAAACGAATACAAACTTCATCGTTTTGACCAAAACACATTGTCATGTGGACAGGTCCTTAATCTAAAATCTGAACAAAATATAAGATTAAAGATGGACTACGTAACTTTATCTCCTTGGAAATGTTTTTGCTTTGTTTGGAATGTTTCACAGTGTGGCATTAAATCACCAGGTCCAGATACAGTTCAGATCTGTGGAGAAGTGAACCAATGAGAATGAATGTTTTTCAAGATATTTTTGAGCAATAAAAACACTTAGTCAGGCTGGTGCCACCTAGTGCCTTCGCTCAATTTCATTTCTCTCCAGCCACTAGATCAGGAATCAGAATACACTAGACGGTTCGCAAAAACCCCGGAGTCACTGGCCCATAGGTTCAAGTCAAGTCTAGCAGCAGTCTAAGCAGGGACTCCCAGACTTCCCTCACCCCAGACACTTCCTCCAGCTCCTTCGGGGGGACCCCAAGGCGTTCCCAGGCCAGCCCAGAGACATGTCCTGGGTCTTTCCTGGGGCCTCCTTCCGGTGGGACATGCCCAGAACACCTCCCAAGGTAGACACCCAGGAGGCATCCGGAACAGATGCCCGAGCTGCTCCTCTCAACGTGAAGGAGCAGCGGCTCTACTCCGAGCTCCTCCCATGTGACTGAACTCCTCACCCTATCTCTAAGGGAGCACCCAGCCACCCTGCGGAGGAAAGTCATTTCGAGCGCTTGTATCCGCGATTGTCCTTTCAGTCATTACCCAGGGCTCATGACCATAGGCCAAAGAACTAAATATAGTTTAGATTTTTGCTATTTATATGAATTTTAAACTAAACTACATAAAAAGTGATGGTATATTTATGTATGAGTATTTATATAAGAGTTGTAGAAATGCAATTTTTTCCTTTTTAAATGTTTTGACAAAATTTTTGTGTGAATCATTACAGTCAGAACAGAAAGAATTCAGATTTTAAAATGCTGAATAACAGTTATTTTGTCATGAAAGATCATGGTCTGTGTAGTTCCCTCTGTTTTACTGTATTGTACTGTATATTACTGTAGTACTTTTGAGGATACCACATCACAGTACTTCAGCTTCATCCAAAGTAACAAACAGAGACGTTGGAGGGACATGTTCCAGTTTGTTCCTGTAAAATTAATCACTGCATTTATCAACGGTAAAGAGAAAAGTATTTTATAAAACACATATTTTTTTAGGAGAAGCATCAAGTCTTCTCAAGTCACTGCCCTTCAAGTCCAAGTCGAGTCCAAAGTCTTAATCAAGTCTCAAGTCCTAAAAATAGTGACTCAAGTCTGACTCAAGTCCAAGTCTCGACCTCTGCCTGGGCTGAAATGATCCAAATGTTTCTAGTGAAGGTGTGTGGAGTTTAAAAAGCACTTTCTGTATCACCACATGACATCACAAGGTGGAACAGAGTGTTTTCAGTTGGCGTAGAAGAACTCAGCTTAAATATGCAGTTTGGTTTGTGCGTTAAACTTGTGTGAACGAAACAAAACACAACTCCGGGTCTGTTTGTGACGAGGAAACTACCATTAAAACATCGGACAAAAACGTAAAATGAGTCTTTACGAGTTACTAATTTTGTCCTTTCAAATTACGATTTCTCTTCCAAATGTACATCGCTATCTGAACGTAAATACTTAATTTGAAACTTAACCTTTACATTTCAACTTTCCCATAATGCATTTCCAATAACTTGACAAAACCCGATCTGTATCTCTACGTTTATAAGCTCCAGGTCAAACAATAAGACTTCACGTTTCACACAAAACAAGGGTCGCGGCTCGCACTAACGCACAAACGCATCGCCATTTATTTTAGGCTAAAGATAACGTTTATTTAGCTTAGACAGAGGATATTAGAACTCCCATAATGCAACGGTAAATACGCAAAGAACACAATATCCGTACGCGGGACAAAATACAAGTTTAATATCTGCCGCCGATACCCAAATCATATCAAATAAAAGGCAATATGGAGCTTTGACCTGCACTTTGGGTTCAGATGCGGCGATAACTCGGGTCACCTCAATATAGACGGAACAATGGACTCAAATACGCGATATTAAACGAGAGTGACGCGACAAAAGAGGGGAAAAAAAAAAAAAAAACGAGTCATAAGTCCGGTATCTGTGCATAGGCCTTATCTGCTTTTCATTTCGCGGCGTAAAGGAACTTGCAAATGTTATGAAATGTGATCCCGGTTTAATCTTTTTTTTATTATAACGGGGAATTGTGGTGAAGTTTACAGTGTCAGATATGCAGATGGCAGAGTGGTTAGCCCTATCTCCGCCTCTTTAGAACGGAGGTTGTGGGTTCAATTCCGCATTTTTATCAGCCCCAGAGCAGCTGTTTCTACAAAAGTTTTATGATTAATTGTTTGTTTTTTTATGTTTTACTGAATAATATTAAAGCCGTACTATGTAACTTTTCAGGTTGGGGGTCCGTCACCTGCTTGTTTCTATGGATACGTCATTGCTCTGCCTGGAATGTTCCACAGTGAGACTTTAAACAGCTCTACTTTACATTTATTCAATTACAATTATTGGTTTTATAGCTCAAAAATACCAAGAAAAACAGGTGTTCTGACTGTGAGCGGGTCGCCTCTCCATAGATCTGACCTGTAACTTGGTGTTGTTTGGTCTCCATGAAGATAGAAAGGTTTAATGCTGTACTGTGAAACATTTAAGACAAAATAAATAAATAAATAAATAACATGTCCAAAAAAAAAAAGCGTTTGACGGACTTGACTCAGAAGTTACCACGCCAAGTTACAGGTCAGATCTGTGGAGAGGCGAGTTAACTCACAGTAAGAATGCATTTTTTCTCCAACCAACCTCTCTTCACAAAGCGTCATGGGAGACCACGTTAGACAAACAAACGCTAAAGCAAAATCACTGTCAACCCCACAGAGCGATAATAAAAACTGGATAAGCTCCTCCCCCTCTGTCCTGGCCCCAGACCGACTAGTGGCCACTCCAGGTACTGCAGCTCCCTGGAGCTTGGGCCCAGAAAGAAATCTCTCACAGAGCGCAGAGTATTTTTTGGGAATTCAAACTGTCCATGTTCGGCTGACAGTTTTAGTTTAGTTTAGAAAATTTTATTCATCTCCAAGGGGCTATTTTTTTGCGGTCACAGACCTCAGTAAAAAAAACAAAACAAAAAAAATACAGTATAAAAAAACACACGCACATGCATTTCACACAGGTCAGGTGCTCATACAATTATGAGCGTCAGTGCAAATGTGGTACAAAGTGCAAAGGTCAGGTAAGAAACAGGATAACAACATTAGAGCCATAAAAAAAAGAATAAAAAAGACACTTGGCTCAGCCCATTTCACCTTTGTGTTTAGGAGACGAATGGTGGAGGGAATAAAGGAATTAGCAAATCTATTTGTTTTCCTGCTGGGGGCAGCTGGAGGTTGAATGGAATGGATGGATCCCTACAAAATCCATTTTCTTCTGCTTATCCAGGGCCGGGTTGCAGGGGCAGCAGTTTAAGCAGTGATTTTGTAGGGATTTTGTAGGATTCTTTTCTATTTTCACAATATGAACTTAAAATGTTTAAATCCTCAAAACACCTAAAAGTTTGATTTGTAACACTTAGCCTTGCTCCACTCTAGCTGCTCTCGCTCTGATTGGTCCAAACGCTCCACGTCGTGCAGGTTACAGACGTCACACGGGTGGGAGGAGCTCGCCCGGATTGAGTAAGAAAATTATTTTTGGGCCCGTGAGCCAATGAACACAACATGATGCATCTTGGGTTCATCTTCAGATTTTATTACAGTTCTATGTTCTGCTTCTCATTTCCAGTTAAACATTCAGTAACATTGTTTATCCTGACTCAATTTAGAATGCGTGCTATGCGTGTATTGAACGCCAAACTAAACACAACTTCAGATGTTTTAAATGAAAAAATATAGCTGCAAAATAGCAGCATTTAAAAAAAAAATCTTTAAAAAATGAGTTTATAGCCTATGTATAAGACCTTAAAACTACAGAGTTAAACCTTGTCTCCAAAACCGCAAAGTGGCGGTGACCTTTGACCCTCTTCTCTGCTCTGTAATTACCCGCGTGAAGAGCTCATTTACATATTTGTGCTAAAGTTTAATTGGACCATTATCAGCGGCC